TATATATATATATATATATATATATATATATATATATATATATATATATATATATATATATATATATATATATATATATATAAATATATATAGATGTATATATATATACTATACACATACATACACACACACACACACACACACACACACACACACACACACACACATATTATATATATATATATATATATATATATATATATATATATATATATATATATCAATATGGATAAAGCATATCAGCAGGGGTTGTGTTCTAAACTAGCAACATAAGTCAAGCAGAACCATAGCAAATGTACAACGATGACTGTTTCATATTTTATCGATTAGATTTTGTTGACGGCCTATTTCGTTCGACAGTACCATTCAAGTTGTCTATTGATTGAATTGTGAAGAACTAGGTATGTAGACATAAAATATACGATCGTTGTGTAAATACACATGTGGTGTTGGTCACTGTCGCACAACGGTTGATACTCGGCTACACCTTTTAGACATGTCGACGCACTTGTGCATAAATACGGTACGATATCTTTCATCTTCACTCTATAAATAGTGATTTTTCATCGTATATTGTGCGCGTGTCTCCCATCAGATACCAGTTCACGACATACCGCATTTATTGTACATCAGTACATGTCATTCACCTCTATCGGTATACGTTCGCCTCAGTGGCCTTCGTAAAATGTATTTTATTTCCGAAATCGAAGACTGAGTTGCTCACAGCCAAAAGTTAATGATACGATTGGCACTGAAAATATCAGATAGAATGCAACTTGCTAATGATAGTCTACTTTTTATTTTCAATTCCTGTTTAATAGGCTAAGCTACTAAGAAATATAATTACATCATATCCATGAATATCTCAAGGACCTCTTCACAGTTGGACATCTTGAATTGCGGGAACACGCCATCAAGGCCGTCCGTTTTCTTGCTTGAATCGGTATCTAATCCCAATGCTTTCTTGGCATCACCCAGTTGTCCGACGAACCCAATTACCAGTGCGGCAGTTGGCTGCGAAACATCAAATGCTCCTACGGACACAAAAGGCTGAGTGCCTGTGTTGATCTGGAAGTGCATACTGCCTCTAGGGAAGAAGAATGTGTCTCCCATAGTGACGTGCTCTAACCTCAGCGTATTATCTCCCACTCCGTATGTTCCGATGATACCTTCACCCATTACAACTGTCTGGATTTCAGTCGCATCTGAGTGTACGTGTGGTGCGACGGCACCACATTCGTTGAGGCGGAAGGCTACTGTGCTCATCCCAACTCCATTGATGTCGGGCCAATTTCCTTTGGCTCCACCTCCTGATGATTTGGGCATGTCGTTATCGCCCACTGATAATTTTAAACCTCCTCCGGGCCCCGTAAGCTGTGGATTGTTCAACATAAAGTCGCTGTCAAATGCCTTCTCTGGGGCAACAAATGCGTTGGTATAGCTTGTGGCCAGGGCACAGATTAGTAGGGTGGCTGTAGAACACTTCATTTTTGGATATATTTTAGTATTCAACTTCGGCGGTAGATATCAGAATGGTTAGTAGTGATGTTGTGAATATATAAAACGAACTTTAATCCATATTTATAGTGCCACATTAGTACAAGTTGTTTGCTTTCAGGAGAGCAATCTTACAAAGTATATGTATTTCCGCGTGTTTATTGTACGATCGGTGTTTTGTAATAAATTCAAATAACAGAAAAGCGTGACAAATTCAAGCACTGTAATAGCTTTGGTTAGCCGAATACGCAATAGTTCTAGTATTTCGTGAAAGACGAAGTTCATATGAATATATGTATTGAGGTAAACGCTATATGTAAAGTGTAGTGAGAGTTGAGGCAGCACTGCAAAGCAAGACATGCATCACATGAGGCTCACATTCTCATTATTGTTTCTTGGCTATCTGACTCTCATCTGAATTAGGTATCAAGAGGGCAGTACTCGAAATCTACTATTGACGGGACTAGGAAATTGGAGGACTAAAATATTTCAAAAATAAGTTGGAGTTTGGACTGGAGAATGCCTGGAGACTATATTACGTTATGTATGGCTATTTATATGTACTGAATAAAAGTTGAACGGAAATATAAAGTTTTATCTTTTTTACAGGTCTAAACAGCTAACAAAGTTCTCAAAAGTGCACTTAAGACTATTGTTCATTTTGATCGAAATAGGTGTTAGTGTTAATAGTTTGGTGTCAAAATATTTAGTATAGGACAGTCTTGAGAACCTGATATGTGCACCCTATTTAATTACTTCGGGCTCCGGCTATATAGTATATAAGTTGAAGGTATACGCTTATTTTTTCGATCTGAAAAAGGTTTAACGGGAAACGCCTCAAGCCTGGAGTCTCGGAGAGTGCAGAGTTGCCAGTAGCGGAGTAGCCTCAGTGGCCCATGAAATTCAGAATGAAGTAAGTTATGCTGTTTTAAGATATATTGGAGTAGATCTACTCTGTATACCATATTAGGAGAATTGAAAAATCAAAGTATCTAACTTCCACGAGTCTCCAACTGCTATGTACATTCACATTGTGATTGTAGTTTGTACTGCAACACAATCAGTCGATCACTAACTCAATCAGCAATCACAAATTGATATTATTGGTCACTATATACCAATAGTCAATAGAAACCGTTATATTGAGAGCTAGTAGACTGTAAAGAGTGGAGACTACTCTCAATATACTCATCTACTACTAGACCTAGTACATAGAGAGAGAGAGAGAAGACTCATTATAAAACACCGCTGACGTCGGTGGGGAACTATAAGCTCCTAAAAAGTTGGGCGGGAAATAAGTGGAATTTTGTTTTTATATATTGCGAATCCCAGTTCCGAGCAAACAATAGAAAAGGGCATCATAGTATCCCTCCTCTAATAGTAATTAAACTGCACATGGGCAATAATTTTATTTCGGTTAACATTTATTACGTCATTGTAGTTCATTATCTTCTCTACTGAGCATAGAGTAAATAGACATCATTGTGGTTTTTACTTTTTTCCTCATTTTGTAATTCTCTATAGCAAACTTCAACGTTTCTCTTCAACTGCTGGTACCACATCGTGATTCTTGTATTAGGCCTTTGTATGTTTATGTACAGGGTCTCAAATGGGCATAAAAATCTTTATTTAATTCCTTATTTGGATTAAATAAAGTTTTGAGGGACCTAATAGCTAGCGCTTTTAGTGATGAAATTGAGCTCTCTAAAAAGGTCTATAGAATCTGTATTAGGGTTGTTTTTAAAAGAGTGTGATATTGAAAAATAAAATGCGGTCCGGACAGTCCAAACGACTTATTGGGCATATGGGACAATGGACAGGTATTTTTTTTTCGGACCAAACGGACTGAACAATGTTTGATTTAGAAGACTATGACAAGACCTATATATTTCCGGACGGACTGGACATGACCAGGACATGTCCGTAGTTGTACAAGTACACTAGTATTTACAACCCTGTAAAATACTGTAGCCCAGTCCAATTACTCCAATATCTATGGCATTTCAACTAGAATAGAAATCTTGTTTCTTTCATACATTAAAAAAACCACAACAATAGACTTCTGGAGTTCTGGTCTTGGAATCTGGATATCGACGACCACATATTTTATATCTCAGAGTATATCTCAGAGACTCAGACTCGGAGTCTCTGACTAGAAATCAGGACAAGAAAAATTTCTCGAGATTTCGTATGGTACATGTCACATGTGGTAAACTGGTAATGTGTATTGTGGGCAGTGGTCCGTGGGCAGTGGTCCGTGGGCAGTGGCCAGTGGGCAGCAAACAGGTTCCGGAGTCTCAGACTCTCAGCGACTATTTTTAACAAAACAAATAAAAAACAATAAGCTATACTGTCCACTGACCTCCAGTGTAAATACAGCAGAGACCTATTTAAAAAAGCACTGTTCTGTACAAATTGTATTTGCTTTTCTTATTGTTCTCTATTTTTTAAAAACAAAAACAAACCAAAAACAATCAAATATATGTAAATATGTTTGTAATTTTAAAATATATTTAGCCGTCTGAAACAAACATAAATATGATACTATTTGATTTTAGTTAAAAAAACAAAAACGATAGTATAAAATTAAAATTTGGGTCTGAAAATCATTTTTAACAAGGTGGTCTTCGGACAAGGCATCGGAGTTCGGACTGCTGGTTTCATACCTTTATCAGCTTTTTTAAACGCATACATTCCGATGCGTTAGCGTTAAACTATTAACGCTGTCGACAACTCGACATCCCAGGCCCATACTAATTGTCAGACGTTAAATATATACACATTCTATAATAAGTTTTTATCGTGCGTACATATGTACTACATACATAGAAAAGAAACAATCATTGTTTTGTTTTTGATATTTTGTTGGTTTTTTATATAAAAATTATATAAAAATTATGCACTAAATCAATAT